GTTGATTCATCTTTGGCTTTATAAAGAACAATAGCTCGTTATGAAAACTTTCAGCCAATCTCATTGTCATGTCCGTGGTTATTTTTGCCCAATACGCCTTAATTTCGTCTTCAAGTTCGTTTATATTTTTAGGCTTTAATATGCATATTTTAACCTTAAACTAGAGGTTAAACACGTTTTCTTATATGTTGCAGCGATAGCTTGCCATAGATCGCTTTGATGATCCAAGGTCTGACATTTGAACTGATAGGTTCGATGAGAAGACTTGGTTTTACTTTTTATTTTCTAATTTACTTGTATCTTTGTTCATAATGGCCTCTTTTTAGCTTAAATTGTAGCTCAAATGCCTGAGATTTCGCAAGGCTCAGGATATACAATGGGTTTGTCCCCGCTTCCAATTGTAGCATGTTCTAATTTGGCCACTGTTTTATCGAGCTAGTCACATCGGTCTTGTGAATTCCACCAAATTTGTCAAGGTGCACTTCGATTTTATTCCTATTTAAGGTGATGATAAGGCCTGAGTGGGGTTGTAATTTATGCTCACTTTGATGGGAAAGCTATTTGGCAGATAAGGCTTAGTGAAATTATACAACTCAACTTTATAACATAATTGTGACGAATTTTAAAGATTGCCTCGAATATAAACTTGCTAACAACTTACGTCATTATTTAAAGTTAATGTCTTTATGTCATTTCAATTCTTCTTACATCTATGTAGTTTATTAAACACTTTTTTCTCTTATATTCTTAATACAGTCGTGATCGTTTGCGCGAACGTGAACGCGACCGTGAACGCATCCGAGAGCGTGAACGTGAGCGTCAGCGCGAACGTGAGCGTGAGCGACTGGTCCGTGAACGAGAGAGAGAGCGCGACCGGGAACGCGAACGCCATCTTCGTGAACGTGAGCGGGAACGAGTAGATCGGGATCGTGATAGGGATCGTGAGAGAGATAAGGATAGAGATCGTGACAGAGACCGCGATCGAGGGCTCCGTGATCATGAGCCAATCTCGCAGCGGTCGGCTTTAAATCGTCAAGCTGGCGGTGGACGTCGACGCAGTAGTGGCAGTCCATTCGGAAGCTCGTCATTGACTGTTTCTTCCTCAGCGGCAGCTAATCCGTCTTTGCCCAACGCCAGCTCCACCACAAATGGTCCGGATCGCCAACGATCGCCGGCTAGTCGCTATCGCCGTCCAAGTAATATTTTTTTACGTGCATAACTTTCCACCTTTTATTTATATAACTCTTTCGGAGACTGATCCAGCAAATGCTATTAAACACTCATAAATGCTTGTACATGTTTAAGCGTTATTTTTGCATGTGCCATTTTCCACTTGAAGTGTCGGGTGTATACTATAATGATGCCTAAAGTTGCTCCGACTCCTGTAATTTAGTTTAAATTAAAATATATTTAAATTCAAGATTAATTTTAAAACTTAGATCGAAGGTCTGAAGACCGAGCTGCTGTAGCCGAGTATGATGCCTGTAAAGCGTCTGAAAATGCACCAAGTCCATGGTCTGACGTCTAAAATTGTCATGGCAAAGGACTCCTGACAAGATGAGTTCACAGGTCTATCTGATAAGATAAACAAGTTGCAAAAATAGGCCAGACTAAAAAATTAACACAAGCTCTCCATCGGCTAGCATGATTATTAGGTACATGCATTGCTCTTGTCTGTTGTTCACATTTCTCAACATATTAAATGTGCTCAAATAATTATTTTATAAAGATAGCAAGCTCTTCTGTGCTTAAATCTCCTTAGCTCATCCTTCGCAGGTGAACATTTTGATGTGCTCAATCCTAAATTACTGAGTTTTTAGAGACAAAAATGCAATTAATTTGCTTGCATCTATTAAATAGTTCATATTTCCTCTATTATCATCTTATTACTATGAGCCATACAAATCACTTTTGTTAACTTATTTAATATTATTAAATGGTTTGTGGCATATTTCCTAACTCCTTATTCTTTTCACATTGCTATACGAGTATATATGTCTTCCGGGTCTTGTTGTTTTTTTATCTCGGTATTCTTTATAATCTGGAGTAGAATTCGTTCTATTATCAGAATGGCGTTCTCCTTTTAATTATATTTTGTTGGAAAGCCTTTTCAAATTTAAATTTTTGTATTGGTTCACGAATAGCTCAAGCAATCCCAAGTTTTCCTTAACTTTTTTCATTTTTAGTTAAGCTTTCAGACTACCAGTAGTTCTTTAATAATAACTGTATTCGTTTAATTTAGTTTAAGGTGATGGAGGAATGGCATTTGAATTCTCCTACAATTATATAAGTAGGCCTCACGATTACTTTTTCATGTTCCTTATAATTATGTGGTTATTGGGATAGGCATATTTCATGTTTTTACGTTCATTATATATTCTAACTCGCTAGGTCCACCCCATCGTGGTGCTGAAGCCGGGTCGCGTCGTGTGGCTCAAGACAAATCACGTTCTCGCAGTCCAATACCCAGTGGAGATGGTAGTCGTCGACATCCAGGAATCGGGCAATCATCCTCGGCCAGTTCTGCTTCCCTGGAGGCTCAACGCAAACTGAGAGGGGGAGGTGGGCAACCGCCTTCTGGCGTATCTGGACCAGGATCGTCTGGTGGAAAACGTTCAGTTGGGGGTCCAGCAAGTGGAGCAGCAAGCAGTGGATCGACGTCAGTCTCTAATTCTGCAGCGAACTCTAAAGGTGCAGCTAGTCGTGGACGTCACTCAGCCACTGCGTCCGACACCGGTAGGGCTCGCGGGGCCTCGAGCAGTAGTGATACATCATCGGGGAGCAGTTCTCGATCTTCATCAACTTCATCCTCATCATCATCTTCTGGTTCTTCGGACTCTTCTTCCACTTCCTCTTCAACCTCCTCATCTGCTCGATCTCGCTCCCAGCTGGTTAGCCGAGCTCCCCGTAAACAACGTTCTTAAAGACTTTCTTTTACATCTGGTCGTTGCGCCCGTATTCCTATTTTTCACATTTCTTTCTCATCACTCATTCCCTTAATTCATTTGACTATCCATTTATCTCTTTTTCTATTACATATTACATCCATCCAATTTTCCTTTCATATATACTACTCGTTTTGTAAATCTTTGCTCAACTATTCTAATCTGGCATTTATACTATTACATAACAAGGAAATGCTCGCTTTTCTTGTTTTTTATCCTTAGTCTGGAATAAGACGTTTCAAAATCTAAGGATCCGAGATAAATAATTCTTATATGATTAAACCCTAAGTACATGAAGAAATCATTTTTAAACAAACCTGCAGGCATTAGAAAAATGCAGTCATCTTGAGAATAGAGTAAGCTCAAGTGTATGCGCCTTATGAAAAAATTATACCAACTTACATATCTATTAGTTATGATGATAATTAGGAGAAACCAGAGATGATGGGAATTTAATTAGGAAATTTAGTCAATGTCTCCATGTTGATAAAAGCTCGTAAATATATACATCAACCAAAATCGATAGTTATGCGTATTATGAGAAAAGTATCCCTGTGTCAACCTCATAAAATCGTCTAACTACATATCAAGTATCATTAGTTTTCGCTTCCAATGGCTTGATTATGGTCGGCTCAGCATTGATGATTAATGCACTTTCCAAAGTTCGTGGTTGATTATAAGTTACTCACAAATACCACCACAGCATATTCTGGAGTTGGTCCGTCCTAAATTCATCTAAAACTCAGAATTACTAGTCCATTTAAAGAAATATTTATATATGTTGGAATTTCACAATCCCTTTGTAACTTCAGCCTCATGACTCCACAGGCCAATACTATTTAAATTACAATCATATCTATTAATTATGACGAATAATTAGCGAAAGAAGAGATGATCGGAATTTATTCGGGAAATTTAGTCAATTTCTACATGTTAATAAAAGTTCTCAATATATACATAATCAACGAGACGAAACCTAGGCATGTCATTAGAATGTCTTGTAAATAGAATGGATAATGTCGCGATTTAATAATATTTTATCCTTTGTTCAGTCTCATCCAATAGAGGACATTCTGGAGGCAGAACGGATAGGGAAGGAGTTGTTAACACAACTAATCAACCTGACAGTTACGACAACATATTTCACATTTAACGCCATTATCTATAAGCAAATATTTGGACTACCAATGAAATCACCACTTTAGCCTCTTTTATCAAATGTATACATGAACAAGTTGGAAAGGGAATTCGAGAAGTCACCACTGCAACTAAGAGTGCTCATGCGATACGTGGATGACTACTTTGCACTTTGGTCACATGGTATGGAAAATTTAAATGAATTCCTTAATTTTATTAACTTACTTGATAATAGAATTAAATTCACAATGGAGATGGAGGATGAACGACTACCCTTTCTGGATATTAAAGTCATGCGCTCCAAAGGGACACTCATTACAAGACTATATAGAAAGAACACATTGCACGAACGGGGCACGAAATCGACTGGAAATCGACCAAAGATTAGCGGCAAATGGTGAAAATAGGAGAAAACGCAAGATCCGAGAGGCCATCGATATACTGACCTAGAGAAATCTAATGAACAATCAGAAGCAAAGAGGAGACGTCTTCAGTGGGCCTGATCAAAACAAGTAGAACCACGACAATTGTGGGTTGGCACACAAGTGACTAGTACGTAGTAAGTGATACACATGGTATTATGTATAGAAATAGGAAAGACGCGGTAGAGAAAAAACCTATTTGGCTAACAATAGACGTGATCCTTGAATCACGACTATTGTTAGCTAACTAGCTCTAGTTTCCACTGCTTTTATCCTCTTTCAATCTCTAATACCAAGTCTATGACTTCCTATGTCCTAGTCTCTTGTGTGCCAACCTTTAAACGTTGTGGTCCAACATTGAACTTAATCAAACCAAGCAGTACCACAACATTTGTGGGCTGGCACACAAGCAACTAGGGTATGAGAAGTCATAGACTTGGTATTAGGGATCGAAACAGCATAGATGTGGCTGAGACTGGAGCTAGTTGGCTGACAGTGGGTCTGTTTTTACCATAGACGTGGTTCATGTAGCAAAGCCGTGACCATGAGACTTATTCAGAGGCCTTAGCCTCGAATTAGTCACCCAGACACAGGGGAGGGTGAATAACGCCTCGAGCAGCACACATGGGGTGCCAGGGGTCGAGTGAAATATGTGAACGAGAGAGAGAGTAGACGGATCTTACGGGGCAAGAGAGAGACTGGGATAAGATCTAGGGAAGGACTGCGTCACAATATGGCAGACCCTGATCAACATTTACAGCGCAAGTGTGAAGGGGGTGAGAACGACAGTGTGGAGTGTGAAGGGTTTTTATTAATGCCGCTTATAGAAGCACACTACTACATCGAAATAAGTACTGTAAAATGTGTAAAGATTATGACCACACAGAGGGCCACACCATCTTTGTCTTCATACCTTGGAATCGATAATTTTGAAAATTAACAGACAAGTATCCATTGATCACTTTCATTCTATCGTCCAACAATTACTTTGGAATCTTTAGATTTAGCTTCCCATAGCATAATTATGGTCAGCTCAGCTTTGTTTATTAAGGAACATTCAAAATTTTTTGTTCGGTGATAAGCTAGACACAGATACCGCAACAGCATCTTCTGGAGTTGGTCGTTAATACCTCATATAAATCCCAGAATTACTAGTTCATTTGAAGATGTTTTTATACTTGTTGGCGTTTCTCATTCTCCAGTGTCTACATGTAAAAGACTGCAGAAGCTGATTCTTTTTAAATTTAAATCTAATATATTAGTTATGACTATCATTAGGAGGTACCAGAGATGATGTGAATTTATCCGTCAAATTTAGTCAATGTCTCCAGGTTTATAAAATTTTTTAAGCCACACATGATCCACGAGAGTCGAAACCTATGCGCCCTCCTTAGAAAAACTCGTAACCAGAATCGATAGTGTTGCGAATTAACGCCCTAGTATCCGTCTAAACCTCATCCAATCGTCTGCCAATTAATTATGAATCTCTAGTTTTTCTATTCCATAGCTTGATTATTGTCGGCTCAGCTTTGATTTTTAGGGTACTTTCCAAAGTTCTTGATTGAGGAATAAGGTAGTCAGATACCATCACAGTATCTTCTAGAGATAGTCCTTCCTACCTACATATAAAATTCAGAATTACTAGTCCCTTTAAAGATATATTAATACTTGTCATTTATCATTCTCTCAGTAACTTTACCCACAAGATGGCAGCGGCCGATTCTTTTACAATTTCACTCGTTTCGGCAAATTTTGTCAATGTATCGATATTGTTAAAAGTTCCTTAAGATATACATCATCTTCGATATTCGAAACCTTGGCGTGCTAAATAGAAATACTCGTAAGTCTAATCGTTTGCTTTGCGAATTATAGCTAAGCTTCCCTTCATCACCCTCATCCAATCGTCTACCAATAAATTAGAAAACTTTCGTTTTAGTTTCCCAGAGCTTGATTATGTTCGTATCAGCTTTGCTTATTAGAGCACTTTCCAATGTTCTTGTTTGATGATAAGGTAGACACAGATACCACCGAATAGGTCCGTTCTACCTTCATCTAAAACACAGAATTACTAGTCCCTTTAAAGGTATATTTATTTTTGT